TAAAAGATACGTGCGGTCCTGTGACATGTGCCAAAGAATGTATCGAAAGCACAAAGTAGGAAAGGTTCCTCTTGGGGAAATGCCCCTGATTGACACTCCTTTTGAGCGCGTGGCCGTGGACATTATTGGACACTTAAAGCCGGTCTCAAATAGGGGCAACAAATACATACTCACCATGGTCGATTTCGCTACGCGCTATTCTGACGCCATTGCTTTGCCGGCAATTGACTCCGCGACTGTGACAGACGGGTTGGTCGAAATATTTTCCCGCGTTGGATTTCCCCGCCAAATCCTGCGCGATCAGGCCTCGTGCTTCACGTCAGACCTGATGAGAGAAGTAAACGATCTGTTGGCAATCAAACATCTGAGTTCGACGCCCTATCATCCAATGTGCAATGGTTTGGTAGAGCGATTTAATGGGACTTTGAAACAAATGCTGCGCAAGCTATGCCAAGAGGATCCAAAATCATGGGATCGATTGCTTGCACCACTTCTAATTGCATATTGAGAAGTTCCTCAGGCCAGCATGGGGTTCTCTCCTTTCGAACTCATTTACGGGAGATACGTCCGAGGACCACTCAACTCGTTAAAGAAGCTGTGGACTGGAGAAAAGATCGAAGAGGAGGTGAAAACGACCTACGGATATGTCCTCGATCTCCGGGATCGTCTGGATAGAACGCTAAAATTAGCCCATGAGAACCTGATACGAGCGAAAACGACTGAAAAATATCACTATTATCGGAAGAGCATGAGCCGTCAGCTGAAAGTTGGAGACCGAGCTCCTATTTTGCTTCCAACAACAGCGAATAAGTTGTTGATGGAATGGAAAGGGCCGTTTCCGGTCATTGGGAAAAAGGGCGACTACGACTATTGGCTGGACTTGGGGCATGACGCCAAACTTTTCCATATTAATATGTTAAAACGATATGAAGACCGGTAACCAGACATAATTCCACAAACAGCATTTTTTGTGGTTACGTAAGAGGAGGAGACAGATACCCCTCTACCAGCTTGAACAGTTAAGCCGACTGTGGGTGCAGAAGCGATTCCGATCAGCGGTAGCTTAGAAGAAAACAAACGTACAGAACTTCGGAAGATTCTAACCACCTACCAAGATGTATTCTCTGAGATACCGGGAAAGACAAATCTGTTGGAATGCCGACTTCAATTGACGACCTCTGAACCGATCAACACACCGCAGTATCCTTTGCCGTTGGCCATGAAGGAAGTAGTAGAACAAGAAGTTCAGGACATGTTAAGACTGGGTGTGATTGAGCGATCCCATTCGCCCTACCATTCGCCCTTGGTACTTATTAATAAGCCGGATAACACCTATCGCACATGCGTCGACTTCCGTCGCATCAACGAGATACTGGTTTCCGACGCTGAATCCATACCTAGGACCGACCTAATGCTTACAGAGGTGGGCACAAAGAGATACTTCTCAAAGCTTGATCTCACAAAGGGGTATTGGCAAGTCCCACTTGACCGGACATCGAGGCCAGTAACGGCATTCTCAACGCAATCCGGTCATTTCCAATTTATATACATGCCGTTTGGCATAAAGACAGCTTCTGCGGTGTTTACGCGTCTAATGAGAACACTTCTACAGGGCCTTGAAAATGTAGTCCACTACATCGATGCGTTCTCATAGCCACGAACACCTGCGAAGAGCACATAGACACCTTGCAACGCTTGTTGCAGAAAGTACGGGAGTCTGGCTTAACCATCAAGCCTCAGAAGTGCGAAATTGCTGTGGAGCCGATAGTCTTCTTGGGACATCGTCTAGGAGGCGGGACTATTCAACCTGTGGAAACTACGGTTTTGAAGATAGCCAGTGCACCTCTACCTGACACCAAGAAGCAACTCCGATCTTTTCTGGGACTAGCTGGGTATTACCGAGATTTAATACCTCGCTATGCGGAGAAAGCACTGCCTTGAACTCAGCTAACCAGAAAAATGGAGAAAAACAAGATTTGTTGGACTCCTGAAACAGAAGGAGCATTTCAAACGCTGAAGCAAGCCCTTTGCTTCTGGGCCGATAGTGAAGGCACTAGACCCAAAACGTGTGTTCATACTTCGTACAGACGCATCCAACACATGCATCGGTGCAGTCCTCATGCAAGAACACGAGGGGCTGTTGCACCCAGTGTCGTATGCCAGCCGCCAGCTGTTGCCTCGGGAGCAGAATTACTCGACTATCGAACGAGAATGCTGAGCGCTAGTATGGGCGGTAGAAAAATTTCATATTTTTTTGTACGGAGTGCAGTTTATCGTACAGACAGATTATCAACCGTTACAATACTTAGCGAAGGCAAAACACCTGGGCCCGGATTCACAAAGCTCACTTACGAAAACATTTTTGCGCAAGAGAAATTTTGTTGCGTAAGTCGATTCACGAAACGAAAAAACGTCGTAAGAGGCCATCGTTCTCACATCGGCCGCTGCAAATAAAGCGCGCTGTGACTACCCGGGAACATGCCAGCGATGGTGATGCAGTTGCTATATTTGCTTACGTCACCGAAAAGTGCTCGTAAGTGGATTCACGAAGCAAAATTGTGCGTAAAAACAGCATGGCTGAGAGAAAATTCTAAGAGTGGTCCGGACCACTCTAAGGAACAATGTGGCTGCTTAGAAATTGCAGCCGCGGTGGGATACATGGGTGCCGTGGCTGATTTTGAGTTTATTGATGGCCATGTAAGGCTGCCTGATGATTACTGGTGCGTTTTGGTTTATGCCGATGCTTTCAGTTTATTTGTTGTTTCCCTCGGATGCAATGGACAGTATTGGCAATCAAAACCATGCAATAAGGTTGGCACCGCAGTAATTAAGGAATTCTATTGGGCGTCAGGGGCGTATAATGATACACGCAAAGACATGTGGTTGGATTAAAACCAAAGTGTGAGGGGAATGGTTGGTGAACTCGAAAACAGCGCGGTTTATGGTCAAAATGTTTTTTATGTTGTTGCGGTGCGTTCCAAATCTTCCAATAAAATGTACAACTTGTGATGTCTGCCTGATTGGTTGAGATTACCACCAAAGAGTTTGAGAAGAGCACACTACCTTGATGCTATTTTCATATCGGAGTGAGAGAAACTTTTATAGTTAGCCATTCATAAAGCCTATTCTGTGGTTGCACTTTCATATACTTCGATTGGATATAACTATCCACTGATCACGATCTGTGAAATCAGCTGTCTATGCACTTTTGGACGATCTGGAAGGGGTGCGTACTTTGTAAATGAAAGCGTATTAGGGGTGTTCGTAATGATGCATAAAACTGCAAACAAATGAAGCTTTTCCGTGTTCATTCTTTGAAAACTCAAGTTGGATGCGTTAGTATGGCAAGCAGTCAGGATAAAACCACCTTAGTAATTTTAAATGACAGCGGAAATGAGCAAAGCCTCACAATTATCGAGCAAACTTTAGCTGAACTCGTCCCTTCGGCAATAAAAAAAATCTTTTACCTTGGCGTTAGAATGTCTGTAAAATGTGTTGCCAGACACTGACACATGTTTTGTGCGAATCAGAGACCACTTGTCCTGGAAATCATTTCGTGACGACGGTGAAACAGCCGGAACCCTCCATGCGTGCTCCCACTGAAGCAGACGACAAACGGGAGCAGACGACAGCTAAGTCGTGAGGCGCAGCTTGTGATTGGCTGACAATTGGTACTCTCAACATCAGGCCACTTTATGACGTTGCAAAACGCTTTTTTCATCAGGAATTCCTGTCCTGTTTGTCATATCTTTACCCTCTCACATAAAATCATATTTTGTCTTGGTCGGAAAATCGCGCAAGTGCTTTTTCCAAGTTATTTTAGCGCCTACCCCTGCTGCGCAGTTTCTAAGAACAACATGGCGACCTAAACAAGTGCGGGGGGCCATTCCCGCGGGCGCCAGTCGCTGTACTGTGGATTCTGTTGCCCTTCCGGATTGTGCAGGCCGTGCGAAAACCGACGGCCGTGTCTTTTGGTGAACGGTGAAACGTGAAATGTGTGCCTCGACGTGTTTGTGGTCAGGAAGAAGGCGTCAGCGCTTCGTCGTAGCCGACTTCTTTACGGGGCCTTCCAAGATGCTTCAAAGTGTGTTTGAATACGGCTGACAGCTCGTTCGCATTGCCTTCCGGAGTAATTTGTTCATTCATCTGGCATCGAATCCTTTGGTCACGTAACTTGAGTTATCCTGAAGAGTTGCTGTAACTCATAAGCGAGGCTGTTTATTGCATTCCGGTTTCAGCAATGCGCTTTTATTGTCGCTGTATTGTGAACTCCGTTGCTTATCGCTGTGTTGGAAATTCCGTTGTGCCTTCGGGGCGTCCAAGTTGTGTGAAAACCGACGGCAGTGTCTCTTGGTGAGCGGTGGAGCGTAAAACGCTTGCTTTGGCGTGTTTGTGGAGAGGAAATAGGTGCCAGTGCATCGTCGTAGCCGACTTCTTTACGGAGCTTTCAAGGTGTGTTTGAAAACCGCTGGGCGCACGTACGCATCGCCTTCCGGAGTACTTTGTTCAGGTGCAGTGTGATATTTGGCATCGGAATCGCTTGGGCAAGTTCCTTGACTAATCATGAAAAATGGCTGTAACTCCTAAGATACGCTGTTTATTTGATTCCGGCTTCAGCGTTGCGCTCCTATTATTATTTTTTTTACTCGTACTCGAAGAAAGCGTTTTTTTTTCGATAGAGCAGCGAAGCTCAGTGGAACGCTGGTTCTGTACTAACACATCCAAGGACTGTGCGGATGCTGTGTGACGGCAGGTCAATAGCTCAACGGTGTTTACGGCTGCGTGTCTTCAGACTAGCGATTGCAGATTCATATTGCTACAAAGTTACCGAGATGCTTTATGCGAACTACAAGGATTCGACGTAGCTTTTTGTGTCAACTCTTTGCTTCCTGGTTGCTATGGTAATCCCAGCATCGCGGTGAGCGGAACCGGATGTCACAAACCTATGCGTTCTGCTATAAATATGGGTCCATCGGCAGCTATTACCCTTGACCTAAGCTATCCGAACTATGGAGTACGTCCTGGCAGCCAACGCTGGTCAGCGGCAACCTTCCCTCCGGAAAGAGCGCACCTTCCACCGGCGCCTAGCCTTGGACGATGTTCCAGACCAGCACCTGCGTTACTACAGGTTCCCGAGGGAACATATTCGGGCCCTTTGTACGACACTAGAGCCTCGACTGCAGCGGCCTACGGCGCGGTCTCGCACCTTACCGGTGGACGTGCAAGTGCTGCTCGCTTTGCGCTTTTACGCAAGCGGCAGTTTTCAGTCTATGGTAGGGGACACGGTTGGCGTGAGCCAATCGAGTGCGTCGCGCATTGTGGCACAAGTAACTGACGCCCTGTGCTCGCTGGCTGCGGAGCACATACGCTTCCCGACGACAATGAGGGCTGCTAATGCTATGGCCATCGGTGAGTTGAACTTTGTCAAATAATGTTGTTGCATGACGTGTAGTGTCATAACGACTACAGTGTTTTGTTAGTGTGGCAGATTTAATGTTAACCAGTGCAATTATCTTGAAAGCTTCTACTAGGCTACCACGCATCTTGGTACCAGTAATAATTTGCAGAATATTCTGCTACACGAGGGAGAAGTTTCTACAGCTTACATTGTTGAGCAATTTTTTGTTGTTTGCCGTAAGCTTGGTTTTCTCAGTTTAATTGGAACCTTTCTGTTCACCAAGAAGTGTCACAGTCTTGGGGAAAGTAATTTATGCAGTTAAAGTTCCTGGACTCACGAAGCTGTTTTTACAAATTATTTTGATTTCAGGTCACTAATTGCATGCAACGTTATTTCGGTGGCAGCACCAATATGTCACCAGAATGCATGGTTATGCAGCAAAATTTTTATGTCTTTATCACACACTCCCTTGCTCGCCATTTCGAGAACCTAATCAATTGTGAGATGTCTCAGCTCACTTCTTTACGAAACATACCGACATGCAGAGCTTGTGGGGTATTTCACAGTGTTTCAAGGTGCTCAAATGTATAGGTGGCCTTGACGAAATGATGTCATTACCTTACTGGCTAATATGTTTTAGCAGCACTTTCAATTGCTGTTCATTCATGTTCTTTTTTAGCCTTTTCGCAGATAGCTGGGTTCCCCAAGGTCCTAGGATGCATTGATGGCACTCATGTGCAAATCAAGCCTCCAAAGCGCCAGGAACACTTGCACAGGAACCGAAAAGGCCTGTACACAATCAATATACAAGCAATCTGCAATGCTGAGGGTGTCATTACCCAGCTGACATCGAAATGGCCCGGCAGCACCCACGACAGCTTCACCTGGGCCTACTGCGACCTTCGAAAGGTGCTTTCAGAGACGGGAATCGCCCGACGGCTGGTTACTAGGTAATTTCTTTCGAAAGATATACTTGCGAAAAACCAGGAAAGCATTTCCTGTGCTTGCCTCCTGGACTTCTTTTAAAATGTTTTAATAGTAGCCGTTTGCAGTGTTCTCACACAAGGGCGTTAATTGTACTCTCGTTATCAAGTATACAAGACAAGGACAAATGTTTATGCAGTGATTGCTCCAATTTAATTTAATATGAACAGGAATGGCAAACTTTAGTATTTGAAACTTTACGGTTCCTGTTGTCCTTCGCTGTGCTTGCAAGCCTGTCTCTCTTTCTTTCTCTCTCTCTCTCTCTCTCTATATATATATATATATATATATTAAAATAGAGGTGTTGTACGTCGAGAAAGGTTCAGACGCAGCTTGGCAAAATGAGCTTTAACAGGCAGGTCTGGCTAATGGCGAACGGCGTGCGCGAGCTACTACTGCAGCCACCGATCATCATCGTCTTCTTCGTTGCCAGCAGAGCGTCCGTTACTCAGATTCATTAATTCATTACAATTACTCCCCGTGAAACAAGGAGCCATCCTGGCGACCTATGGACAAGTAAACACGGGAGGGTCGTAGCAGGGCTTAAGTCTCGAGACGTGGACAATTTCCTGGCCACGACGACGTTGGTCAGAAGATGGTTCCAGTGGCTCAATGAGGTAATTCACCGGTGACGTTTTTTGTAGCACACGATATGGGCCGTGATACTTGGGGACCAACTTGGTAGAAAGGTCAGGTGTAGCAGAGGGAACATGCAGCCAAACGAGTGAATCTGGATCGTAGGAAGTGGTGTTATTTGATGCGTCATGGTGGTGCTTTTGGCGTCCTTGGTCTTGGGTTGTGAATGCTCTTGCCAGTTGGCGGCATTCCTCAGCGTATGTAGCTGCTTGAGACAAAGTCGTGGACTCTGAGGAGTCAGGTTTGTACGAAAGAATGGTGTCCATAGTGCAAGAAGGTTCGCGTCCGTAAAGGAGGAAAAAAGGAGAGAACCCTGTAGTGCTTTGAATGGCGGTATTATAAGCGAACGTGATAAACGGGAGCACTCGGTCCCAATTGGAGTGGTCTGACGAGATATACATAGACAGCATGTCACCAAGGGTGCGGTTGAAGCGCTCTGTCATTCCATTGGTCTGAGGATGATAGGCGCTTGTAGTGCGGTGAACGACGTGGCACTCACGCAGCAATGCTGTGATGACGTCTGACAAGAATACGCGACCACGATCGCTCAGTACCTCCCGAGGTGCTCCATGACGTAATACGATGTTGTGAAGAACGAAAGTCGCAACGTCTTTTGCTGTAGACGAGGGAAGGGATGAAGTTTCGGCATACCGCGTGAGATGGTCGACGGCAACTATGATCCAGCGGTTACCGTCAGCAGTGTTGGGAAGGGGACCATAGATATCGATGCCGACGCGGTCGAATGGTCGAGATGGGCATGGTAAGGGTAGCAAGGTACCGCTGGCGTGACAAGGGAAGTTTTTCGTCTCTGGCACGTCGAGCAGGCCCGAACGTATTGTCGTATAAAACGGTACATGCCACGCCAGTAATATCGGAGACGTATGCGAGAATAAGTCTTCAGGAAACCTGCGTGGCCACATTGGGGGTCGTCATGAAAACGTGGAACAAATTTCGGATCGCAGATGACGTGGAATCACGAGTAGCCACTGACGTCCACCGGGTGCGTAGTTGCGTCGGTACAGCACGTCGTCGCGAGTGGCGAAGTGCTCCACTTGCCGACGCAACGTGCGAGAAGGGGGGGAAGCCGTCCGCCCAGCCAGGATGTCTAGAATCGAGGCAACCCAAGGGTCCTTGCGTTGCTCAGATGGCATGTCGGCGATGGTGACGGCAGTGGCATCACAGGTTATACTTTCGCAGCAATCCGGGTCAGGGGGTAGAGGCGAACGGGTTAGGGCGTCTGCGTCCGAATGTTTCCGGCCGGAGCGATAGACCACGCGAATATTATATTCTTGGAGGCGTAATGCCCATCGGGCGAGGCGACCACTTGGATCCTTCAATGACGACAACTAGCAGAGGGCGTGGTGGTCAGTCACGACGTCAAAAGGGCGCCCGTACACGTAAGGTCGAAATTTTTCTATCGCCCAAATATAGGCGAGGCATTCCTTTTCGGTGACAGAATAGTTGCTTTCGGCTTTGCTAAGAGTTCGGCTTGCGTAGGCAACCACGTACTCTTGGAAGCCGTCTTTCTTCTGTGCAAGAATAGCGCCTAGCCCGACACCACTAGCGTCGGTGTGGATCTCTGTGGGTGCCGATGGGTCGTAGTGTCGCAGAATAGGCGGCGACGTGAGGAGGCGGCGCAGTTCATTGAAAGAGTCGTCACAGGTGGCAGACCAGGCTGAAAGGTCTTTGGAGCCGGCGAGGAGCTTGGTCAAAGGAGCGATGATCGTCACGAAATTGCGGACGAAGCGCCGGAAGTAAGAGCAAAGGCCTATGAAGCTTCGGAGCTCTTTCATGGTGGTCGGTTTGGGAAACGCTGAAACGGCTGTAAGTTTGGCAGGGTCAGGAAGAATGCCGTCTTTTGAAACCACGTGGCCAAGGATCGTAAGCTTTCGAGCGGCGAAATTGCACTTCTTCAGATTCAGTTGCAGCCCCCGGCAGAAATACACGCAAGGACTTTCTCGAGGCGGGTTAAATGGGTTTCAAAATCAGTTGAAAAGACGACAATATCATCTAAATAACAAAGGCAAACGTTCCATTTGAGGCCTCGAAGGATAGAGTCCATCATCCGCTCGAAAGTAGCTGGCGCGTTGCAGAGGCCGAAGGGCATCACTGTGAATTCGTAAAGCCCGTCGGGTGTGATGAAAGCAGTTTTTTCACGATCGGCCTCTGCCATGGGTACCTGCCAGTATCCAGAGCGGAGATCTAAAGAAGAGAAAAATTCGGCTCCCTGTAGGCAGTCCAAGGCATCGTCAATGCGTGGCAGCGGATAGACATCCTTGCGCGTGATTCGGTTGAGACGCCGGTAGTCCACGCAAAACCTGATGAATCCGTCCTTCTTCTTCACCAACACAACTGGAGAGGCCCAGGGACTGCTTGACGGTTCGATTATGCCACGTGTCAGCATGTCGTCAACCTGTTCATTGATGGCACGGCGTTCGGTAGTTGACACACGATATGGACGCTGCCGTAATGGCGTCTCTTGACCGGTATCTATACGGTGTACAACAGATGACGCTCGACCTAAGGAAGGCTGATTGTGGTCAAACGAGGCTCGAAAACGCTGTAGGAGCTTGATCAGCTGTTTCTGCTGCCCAGGCGTGAGGTTACAATCGATGGACTTGCGGAATACATCCATAGGTCATTAGCGTCAGTTGCGGGTGTAATGGCACAAGTCGGTAGAAATGGCTTGTCTGGATAGATCGGTTCTTCGAAAATACAATTAAGGTCTCGAGGCTTCCCAGACACTCACCGCGTAGCAGGATGTAAGGGCAAGCAGAAACGTTGCACGCATAAAGCACCGCCGAACCATTGGAAAAGTTGATGACGGCAAACGGGAGGACGATGGTCGGTGTTGCACACTAGCTATAGTTGGTTGGAACAGGAGCGTCGAGTTAGTGGCAGCAGGGGAAAACACAGGCACTAGGACGGCGGACAACGGCGCGATGCGGACGTCAGCTGCGGCAAAACACTTTCGAGGGACTGTGGTGGTCGATATCAAGGCACGGATTCGTCAACGTGAGTTCAGCACGAGCGCAGTCGACGAGAGCCTGATGGGTAGAAAGGAAATCCCATCCTAGTATCACGTCGTAAGATGAACGTGGGAGAACAACAAAGTTGACGGCGTACCAAACATCTTGAATAAGAACGCGTGCTGTGCACTGAGCTGTCGGCGCTATGAAATGGGAGGTGGCTGTACGCAGAGCAAGATTCGTAAGCGGCGTTGTAACTTTTCTCAAATCGCGACACAGTTTTTCACTAATTACAGAAACGACGGCGCCTGTGTCGACAAGTGCACGTACAGCAACACCTTCTACTAGCACATCGATTTCGTTGGACGGACAAAGAGGAGGTCTTAGAAAGTTCGACGACGACGCAGTTCTTGCCTCCGGAACTGCGGCTGTCAGTTTTCCTCTCGAGCGGGGCTCGTGCTCAGAAGCATCGGGGAGACAGATCGGCGACGGGGTGGTAATGACCGGCGAGAATCGACGGGGCGTCGTGGGGACAATGAGTCGGTGATAGGAGAAGATGGTCGCCGGGGATTCTGGGCAGCCTGGTAATTTGCAGAATTCTCATGTTCTGGAGGCTGGGAGTTGCGACGGCGACAGTAGCGTGCTATATGTCCCACGAAACCGCATGCGAAACAGATGGGTCGATTATCCAAGGTGCGCCATGGGTTAACGACAGAAGGTGCAGGGGGCGAAACGGGATGGGGTGCCGTGTATGTAGGCAGCGTCGTAGGGTAGGAGGACCGGTGCCCCGGTATGCGCCAGAGACAGGTGGGGCTGGGGGTCTAGCAACGACGGCAGCGTAGGTCAGCGGCCGTAGGGACAGGTGGCGATGGAGGCAGTGCTTGCGCGACCTGTGTCTCAATGACCTGGCGTAGACGTGGGTCTAACGAGGTCACTGGCGCGGATGCTTCGGCCACAAGAGAAAGCTGACGCGCAACTTCCTCACGAATGAATTGTTTGATTTGGGGGAGTAGACGGTCTGATCAGCAGCGACGTCGTGTACGAGGGCGGAAACTTCAGCCGTATCTTCTGCGGCCCTGCGCGTCGAGACACGCTGCTTACGCAACTCGTCGTACTCCTGACAGAGGTGGACAACATCGGTGACGGTCTGTGGATTCCGAGCGACGAGCATCTGGAAGGTGTCGTCGTCACATCCTTGATGATGTGCTTGATTTTGTCGCGTTCGGTTAGAGATTCATCGACGCCGCTTGCAAAGGGACAAGACATCTTCAATGTAACTCGTAAAGGTCTCGTCCCTGCGCTGGACTCGACTACGGAGACGCTGTTCCGCGCGAAGCCGGCGCACGGCGGGACGGCCGAAGACCGCGGAGATGGTGGTCTTGAAGGCGGACCAGTTGGTAATTTCGCCTTGGTGGTTCTTGAACCAGAGGCTGGCCACATCAGCTAAGTAAAAGCGTACGTTTGTGAGCTGGTCGCAGGCGTTCCACTTGTTGGAAGCGCTTAAGATTTCGTACTCGACGAGCCAGTCCTCGACGTCTTGTTCATCGTTGCCGCGAAAAATTGGTGGGTCACGTTGCCGAGGCGCGCCAGTACAGTAGACTGTCGTTGGTGAGGCAGCTTGAGAAGGGCCAGGAGCAGTCATGGTGAACGGTGAGGGTAGCGTCCGATTGCGAAGTTCCAGGTTGATGGGAACCCCGGCTCCTCCACCACTTAAAATAGAGGTGTTGTACGTCGAGAAAGGTTCAGACGCAGCTTGGCAAATGAGCTTTAACAGGCAGGTCTGGCTAATGGCGAACGGCTGTGCGCGAGCTACTACTGCAGCCACCGATCATCATCGTCTTCTTCGTTGCCCAGCAGAGCGTCCGTTACTCAGATTCATTAATTCATTACAATATATATATATCTATATATATATATATATATATATATATATATATGTGTGTGTGTGTGTACACTTATATATAGTTTACAAGTACGATATGTATACAAATAGAAAAGTAGATACGCTTTCATATACAACTGTATATTCAGCCGGCATTTAGACGCGTTGAAACGTTGGCTCAATAAACAGCTATGTGAAGCACATCTACTTTCATACTTGTAATCTTGTGGCAATCGAAGTTATTCTTCTGCATGTGCATATATATATATATATATATATATATATATGTGTGTGTGTGTGTGTGTGTGTGGGTGTGTTTGTTTGTGGGGGTGCACACATACATATGTACACTTTGCTGTTTGCCACTGGTTGAAGTCAGTTGCAATTCAAACCTGATGCCACTAAAATGAAGTAATAGTGCAATTTGCCTGTGTTCCATAATTCTGCGAACTATTTCCTTTGGCATTTTCGCACCGTACATGTTTTGAGGCTATATGTGATACCTTTATGTTTTTGTTCATTTCGGCCCTGTGACATGAGTACACCCTTGCTCCTCTGTTAAGGTGACTCTGGGTATGCTTTAGAGCCATGGCTGCTCACCCCTGTAAGGTCTCCGGTTGGCCCTGCCGAGGAGCAGTACAACTCGGCCCACACTCGGACGAGGCAAGTCATTGAGAGGACCTTCGGGGTTCTAAAGGGACGCTTCAGGTGCCTGCACCAGTCCGGGGGTGCTCTACAGTACAATCCGCTGATGTGCACCAAAATAGTGGTGGCATGCACCATGCTGCACAACATGTGTGTCCGACATGGCATTGACTTCAGCTTTACTGATGGTAAGTGATTGCTGTGGCTGTAGTAGCTTCATTAACATGTTTTGCAGAACAGCTGTTTGGGTAGAAGAAATATTGAGACAACAGCTGCTCTAGCAATTGCCAACTGCCGTGCTGTTCGAAAAGTGACCTTGCTCAAGCTTCAAAGGTGTGCAGAAGTAGATATTTCATTCCTTATAATGAAAAGTCCACTGTCAGCGTGGCCAGCTCCTACTTCACAGCTTGGTTCTTTCAGAAAACATCGAGCTTGCTCTAACTACCGGACATGGTTTGCCAGTTCCTCTGTGTAAATGTTTTAAAGTTTCTACATACCTCTACTCTAAAAACAAATGCTGCGAGTAATACTACCTTTAGATAATAGTGAAGGTTTGGAGAAAAATGGTTGTACTGCACATGCATAGTAAATTCAAACGAGAGTGTGGCTGCTAAAACGCGTAGCACAGGAACAGCGGTTCCATGTATCATTGCTTTTTTATACAAGTTTCTTTAGCCTTGTCAGTACGTCAGTGCTGCTTCAAGGGGAAGGGAACTTCACACATTTTTCCTGTCCTGGTAGTCGCACTGCATTGCGAGCCACATAGTGGAAGACCGTGTACAGTGTGATGTTGATGCATCCTAAATGAGTGCTGGATGGTAGATTTATCCTGAGCGATGCACTATGGTATATCGCATGTTGATATATCTGCCTTGAGATCTTAAACCTTAATATTATTATGATTAAATTATATTATTTTATATCAGATTTATAAAAAGGCAAATTACCAGATGTGACAGGTTCCGTATTTCCCTGAACATGTTCCTATGAGCAGATTATTTTTATATACTGTTTCCTGTATAAGCATTATGATTTTTCACCAACTCAGCAGCCACACTGTGAGCTCCACAATATTTTAGCTTTGCTAAAAGTATGCAGTTTGAAAGCTTTTGTAGGGGGAAATCTTTGTAATGTTTTTTAGGCTAAGCAAAATGGTGTCGGTGTGCTTAATCCATGCTGACAATTACTGCCATAACTTAGTCTGTGAAGGTTGCAGTAGTAAATGCATCATTAAAGTATGCGCAGAAAACATGCTCGTTTTTTTCGGCACAAAGCTTCTGGAGCACCTTAAAAGCGTGATATTAAGACACTAGTGAGAAGACAATGTGCAAGGTTTTGCTTCACAACAAACATGTGTTGCAGTTATGTATAAAATCTGTTAACAAGAATTGTGTTGAGCCTACCAACAAACTTGTCTTTGTCGAAGTTCTGTTCTATCCTTGAGGAAGAGGAGTGAACTTGTGAAATATTAGGTGTGACAGAAACCTCATTTACAGATTTTTTTCATTGAAAGCTTCTATCGTCTCCTTCCTGCCATTTTTTTACAAGTTCCGGTAATGAAACAGATGCTTGAAAGTGTTCAGCCATTCATACCTGTACAAACTTTGTAGCTAGCAGTCTTTTGCAAACAGTTGTGTGGTCTTTCGCAAAGCACTCCTTATACCGATCTGGTCTGTGAGCAATACGCAAGTAAAATTTTGTACACAAATTATAAGGTTCCCATGAGTGCACTAGTTTGGGTAACAAGACAAAAACTTTCACTTGGCTGTGTGTATTTTATGTGTGTTTTTGTGTGTTTGTGTGTGTTTTTGTGTGTTTGTATGTGTTATGTGTGTTATGTGTGTTTTATGTGTGTTTTGTGTTTTTGTGGTATTTTATGTGTGTTTTATGTGTGTTTATGTGTGTTTTATGTGTGTTGGCTGTGTGTTTTTTTCACTTGGCTGTGTGTATTTTTCACTTGGCTGTGTGTAACCAGTGGTCAGGTCTGAAACACTGGTTGGCTGCAAGCTGAACATTCATGCAGCATTCTCGTTGAGCAAATGTTATTTCGTGTATCATTACTTGCGATTATAATGCTTATAGATCCTTGCTGCCTTGCTTTGCAAATGACAAAAAACAATTCGTGCTGTGGTGTCTAAAATGATTTCGTTCTTTAAGTATGGGGCGAGCAAGACATGGAACATTTATTTTCTGCACTGCTATCATTTTTCAAAACATTCATACTTGGAGCAGTAAATTGTCACTGGAAACTCAGGTGTAAGTGTGGACACCGTAATAGTATAGGTTTTATGTAAAAAGGCATGTCTACAATAGAGCAACTCGACTCTTATTTCGATCGGCTGATTGTGCACACTGCAACGACACAAACAGTCTGCCTATGGTCTCACGGAGGCTCCGTTCAGGCCTTGTTATGCCCACAGCCTTTAGTTGGCCAATTCTCAATTGGAGTCACACTGGGGGGCACACGCAGTGACACCCACTAATTTTGCACAAAAAATTTGCGACTGCTTCTCATTTCCAGCCATCCTCCGTGCATTGCCATTGTCCCTTTTGGGGTGAGGGGCCAGGGGGTGGGGACAGACAAAGACAAAGCGAACGAATGACTTTTGTGGAGTGCACAGGATGACCATTAAAGGAGCCCTCCAACACTATTCCACCCCTTATGTTTTATACATGTGTTGTGTACACTGAAGTACACACTAATGCAGCAAGTTATTTGACTTAGAAAATTCAAAATACAAAAACCAGAGTGTGGACCCTCAACTCGATTTTCACAGGGTCACTTGACCGCATTTCACTTGCCCGTGTCTTCGGAAGGCTACCCCAACTAAATAAGCTGGAAGCGACTACTCAGGGGAACTTCGCACCCCACTGTTGCTTTTTTCTTTTTCAAAGTAATGTTGACCTTGTTGCTACCATAATTGATGTCTTGCCTGACTTATGGTTTGCCAGAGCGTGAGTGAGAGCTACTGCTTCGAACCGAGGCATTTACTGTTGTTTTTTACGATATCGCAAGTGACTTTCTCCTATTCTAAGAAAGGCACTTGTGGAACCAGGACAGTGAAGTACTGTAGAGCCTTCGCGTGCTGTTCGATTAGCCACCCAACAAACATTGGTGCACTGCACCTCTTCTACAGTGCATGTGCAGAAGCAGATAGCTCGTATACTCAAAAAAGCAAGAAGAGGGAAGAAAGAAAAAGAGGCGCTTCGTATGGACATCTGACCCGCACAAGCTTAAAATCCAGTGCCGAAATGGCAGCCAGCATCTCTGTCATGCTTTGTAGTTACCGTGATCTTTTTTATTGTGTTTGCGTCTGTTCAGGGTTTGATGAAGAAGCACAGAGAAGAAAAATGATACAGATTAGTAACCTCAGTTTGTTGCTACATCATGATCGCTTCTAGCATTAAATTTATACAATCATATGGCGGCAACCTTCTAGTGTCATTTCCACCCGCAAAGTTCAGGCGAGCGCTGCTACGTGGCAGTAAGGTCGGCAGCGATGTGTAGTTTGTTGCATAAATAAAGTACTAAATCAACTAATATTGGCACTTAGACCTATGCAAAAATTATTTCCACCTATCGGTCTCTGCAAACCACAAATAAAAATAGCTTGTTCAATAGTGTTGGAGAACACCTTTAAGTAGTGTGTGAGGCCTTCTACCTCTGCCTAAGATCTCTATCTTAGTTGTTAGATTGAACAACACAGGCAAGTTTTTGCTCGACAATTGATCTTCTAACAATCTGTGGGCAACACGTCTGCTAATACGCTTTGCTGGTGTTTTCGGTCTGCCATCATGTTACACGACGACAACGGTTTGTCTTTCGAAGCGTCGTTGTTTTCGGCTTAGTGTGACCAGATTGTCAGGTGCCATTGTCGGTGGGTAGCTCAGCCGATCGTCTGCGGTGGGGTCGTGTCAGCGTTGGGTCGCTGTAGTGCAAACACGCCCTAAGCAGACCAGTGAGTGCAAGCACATGTGTAAATATAACCATAAATACAGACAACAACGAACATCATGGTCTGCCTCAGCTTGTGCATAGAGATGCCCTAGTGTGGGCAGTTGCACTGTAAAATATTTAACATCTCTAACTTCTTTTTACATTTCCTTGAATCATTCTCACAAGGACTGAGCCAAGCGGTAGTTCGGAAACTTTTTGAGGACATTGTTGTGGAAAGCTTCACCTCCTACTTCACTAAAGTGAGCTTTTATCATAGCACATGTATTGTTAGGTCGATGCAAGATATGCACGTGCCAATTTAGCTATAAAGTTGCACTTTTTATTTGCTTAGTTTTGTGCACAAGGGAAATGATTGGAAGCATCGCATATCATTGACCCTGCCACACTACTCAGGACAACACTATAGTTCTGTGCAAAAAAGCTGTGGGTATAATGAATTCTCCTTTTTGTGCACTCAGAATTTCTCTAGCTGTCAGTATCTTTGAATTGGCACTCAAATGCCATGGTGTGCTCAAGTGTATATGAAAAAGCTTTCTCAGCTACTAGTGGCAATTAGGTGATCTAGCATTGAGTAACTTCAGAGCATCTGTGCAGCTGCTGTGAGAAATGAGGCTCTGATGATAGCTGGTGCATTATCACCTATATTTGGCAAACTTTCCCATTGTTCATGAGGCAGCATTTTATTACTTCGCATGTGTGGTCTATCTACTTTCTCTCGCCATAAATGCTACCAAAAGCATGCCTCTGAACTAATGTTTTAGCTGAGCTGCATAAATGACTAATTGGAATTAAAAAAATTTCTTTTGTACTGGCAACTTGCTTTTAGCACCGAATCATTGTACACTCTCAATGAGATTGCTGTTTTGCCGCGTGAAGAGTTATCACCTCACTTTCATAGATTTCTTTTGTCATTTTTAGATTTGTTGAATGTGTTTCTCTATGGAAATAAGTTCCTTTTTTCATGCTCCTTCTTGAGACAGGCAGGCAGGCAGAGAGAGAGAGAGAGAGAGAGGTAGATAGATAGATAGATAGATAGATAGATGGATAGACAGATGAATAGACAGATGGATAGACAGATGGATAGACAGATAGACAGATAGACAGATGGATAGACAGATAGACAAATGGATAGACAGATGGACAGATGGATAGACAGATGGACAGATTAATAGACAGACAGACAGATGGATAGATGGATAGACAGATGGATAGATGGATAGACAGACAGACAGATGGATAGATGGATAGATAGACAGACAGATGGATAGATGGATAGATAGATGGATAGATGGATAGATAGATGGATAGATAGATGGATAGATGAATAGATAGATGGATAGATGAATAGATAGATGGATAGATAGATGGATAGATAGATAGATAGATAGATAGATAGATAGATAGATAGATAATGTGTGTGTTTATGTTTTCTTTTTAGATGACCCTTTCTTGGACGAGGGAGGGGATGACCCTGAACTACCATGTCTGCAAGAAGACACAGCAGCTGGAATTGTGCGACGCCAGGTTATTCAGGCCATCCATTCATTGGCTGAGCAGATGGTATGGCAGCTAAAGTTTTCTTCAATGTACAATATGTATACAAAAAACTTTATCTCGTCATGTTGTCTTCATTTTCCAAGTAGCAGTTAATGCCGTAACGTAGGCTAAAAAGGTAACGTGGTCACAATAGTTGATATGCC